GACCATGAATAACTTAGCTTTAATATATTTGTTTGTCTCACTTATGCCTGATTGGAGCAATTGAGAAAAATTGCATTCATAAATCTTCTTGCCAAGATAATTAATTATGCAAGAAATACTTCAAGCTGCTTCTGATTTTCATTAATGAAGCAGATTATCTGCAAAATGAGATGCTGCTGGAGCTGAAAAGAAAGGTCAGCTGCTTATCTTTAAATGTAAGACAAGCGCGCATTTTTACATCTGAAAAACAATGATGAAAGAACATGCTGTAATTGTCTTTATGAGGCTATCACATCCCAATTAAGATAGGAAAGAATGTGGCTTTCATTTACTGTTTTCCTGCAATTGATGTAAATCCTAAGTCCCCATCATGCTGGTCACTTAATTTCTTTTCCAAAGGAGAAGTGGCTGAACTATTAAAAGCATTATGCCACAGTACTTAGAAAGAGAGAAGCACTAAATGTATCTTTTAAACGGCCCTTATGGGAGAAGACACATCACATAGTCAGACATCCACATTATTATTCACCAGTAATCTTTGTTCTAATTCTCTATTTAATTTCCCTTTCTCTTAAGTGGTTAAAAATATTGACAAAGCTGATATTTCATTAATATAAAGTATGATAGCTCCTGTGTTCCCTTAAAATAAGACAGAACTGACAAAAAAGAAAAAGAAAAAACTTTGCCCTCCAATAAAATGTGGTTCCATGTGTTCCAGAATTATCAGGTAGATCATTCAGGAACATAACTATAAAACCCAAATTACTAACTGACTGACACTCAGCTTAGTGTCCCTGCTGCAATTCTTCACCACTGTACCATCAACAACACTTTAAAATAGAACAACAACACTTTAAAATAGAAATTCAGGCTGGGCACAGTGAGTAGCTCATGCCTGTAATCCCAGCACTTTGGGATGCGGAGACCAGCAGATCACTTGAGCCCAGGAGTTCGAAACCAGCCTGGGCAACATGGTGAAACCCCGTCTCTACTCAAATACAAAAAAAAAAAAAAAAAGCCAGTGTGGTGGTGTCCATCTGTAGTCTCAGCTACTCAGGGGGCTGAGGCACAAGAATTGCTTGAACCCAGGAGGTTGAGGTTGCAGTAAGCCAAGATTGCACCACTGCACTCCAGTCTGGATGACAGAGTGAGTCTGTCTCCAAAAAATAATAACAACAATAATAATAATAAACAGAAGTTCAGAAAAACTGCAAAACTCAGGTAAGATAATTTGTGCTTTTACACACCTAAACTTTACATTAATTCCTTCTTCATATAATTATCAACACAGTAAGTATTAATTATTGTTTATAATATTAAGAAATCAAAGCAACTCTATTTACTCATCAATAAAATACTGTTTAAATTGTGTTATATTCAAATAGCAGAATACTACATACTCATTAAAATTAATTGCTCTACTTTTGACACAGAATATGTTTGTCTTTTTTAATTTAACCAAAAGAGGTTATAATACAGTATATATAGGCTAATTCAATTTATTTTCATTTATTTGTTTAGTTGTTTAATAAATGCATGTGTGCCCGCGACTATGCTCATACATACTCAGATACAAGTCTAGAAGGCGGCAGTGTGTCAAATTTCTACTAGCAATCATCTGCATGGAGGGTGATCTCTACATTTTAACAAAGAAGCATTATTAAATCACAAGCAGAAAAAAGATACTACTTTTTGTTTTAAGCTATCAATTCAGTGCCCATTAAACAAGGGTAGCTGTTAACATTATTACAGTGACTTTTATCACACTCTGTGAACTCAAATAATAAAACTGGTCTTCAATCTGAGACCAGTCGTCATCTGAGCATGACACTGGAGGGGCGAGGAGTGGGAGAGTATGTAATATGTTGGGTCTTCACTATCTTTTTCAGACATGACGGTAACAACTGCTAACACTAAGATAGTAGTAGGTATTATTTTTCATATTTTAACAGAAAACTGAGCTTCAGGGAGGTTAAATAATTGCTGTTACTCAGCCAGTAAGTGGTGAAGCCAGGATTTGAACCCAGCCAACAGTCTGGCCCTAGGATCTGTACTCTTACAAGCACAAAGAGACAACACTTAGCTTTATCAATTAACTACTGCAAACGCTGTCACTGCTGCTAACCAGAGAAAATGTAACATGAGTGTTTTAAGATTCAGAGCCTAAACTTTATTTTTATTCAATTTTTTTGAGACAGAGGGTCTCACTCTGTCAACCAGGCTGCAATGCTGTGGTGTAATATTGGCTCACTGCAGCTTTGACCTCCTGGGCTCAAGCCACCCATCCCACCTCAGCCTCCCAAGTAACTGGGACTACAGGAGCATATCACTATGCCTGGCTAATGTTTGTGTATATATTTATTATAGATACAGGGTTTTGCCATGTTACCCAGGCTGGTCTTGAACTCCTGGGTTCAAGCAATCTGCCCACCTCACAAGTTATTCTGATGAGGATGCTGATAGAGATGGAAACTGCCGGTGTGCGGACAGGGAACACACGGAAATCTCTGTACCTTTCTCTCACTTTTATCTGTGAACCTAAAAGAGCTCTAAAAAATAAACTTTATTTTTTAAAAAGCACCCCTCCCCAAATCACTCACCTCTAAAAAAAATGAGACCCCATAAGTTAAAGAACTTACCAAGTCATAAACCTTCTGCTATACTTTACTTTACTTATTAGCAAATATATTTCTGTTTTCCCAGTTTAGCAAGGTATCTAGGTTTCCTTTAAGTATGTGGCTAGGTTAGAATGTTCATTTTGAATCTTCTGAATTTTCAGAAGATATTCTTTTTTTTTTTTTTAACTGCAGAGGATTCAAGTGGATGATTATTGCCATAGTCATGGGAAAGAAAGGCAAAATTACTATCTTAAAAATACATAAGTAAAACTTACTGTAGCTATTTTCTCATTCTTGGGGAAATTGTTCTGTGTTTGGAAAGCCTCTTTGATGAGCCCTTTTTTTTTTTTTTTTTTTTGAGAGAGAGAGAGAAGACCTCTGTGTTAATCTGGATAAAAGATTTTGAGGTTTAAAAGACAAATACTTCTCTGTATGATAAAGCAAGAGGAGTTTGTAATGTATCCTCGGAAGCACTAGAGACAGGGGCTTAGGGTTTCACGAAGAGATAAGAGGAAGGTTTCTTTAAGGGGATAGCAGCTCTGGGAACAGTGGCTAGTCAGGATTAGGGCAGAGAGAGCCAGACAGGAGCAAGTGAGCTACAATAGACCCACTCATCCTCAGAAGGACAAAGAATTTTGGAAACAGTTGTCTTACAACTTTAATTTGTTTCCTGTCCTGAGCATTAATTTCCGTCTTGTTGTGCCAGAGTCATCATGAAAAGATCTTTACATTGGATGACAGCGCTTTGGGTAAAAAGCATGTAAAAGTGCATGTGGGAGCATCTAATGGCTAGAGCACGGTCAGCAGGTAGCACAGCAGAATCCGGACAGGAGGAGCGGGCAGCAGTCAGGGTAAAACTGATAAAAACAAGGTAGCTTAGAAGGTGTATGGTGACCTAGAGGGGAATGGCAACAAAGTACAAGCAGGAAGATATATGACTGGCACCTGCATTTGGATGTCTGCTGTCTTCCACTTCCTCAGAGAGGCTTCTTTGATTCTTTCTTTGATAAAAAGTTGACCAACATGTGTCAAAATTCATTACCTTACTTAATTTCCTCATCAGGTTTATCACCGTACTCATCATTTGTTTATTATAAGTCCTTCTCATCACATTAGAACAGTGGTTCTTAACTGGGGGTAATTTTGTGCCCCAGGGGATATGTGGCAATGTCTAGAGACACTTTTGATTTGTCGCAACTGGGGATGTTGTATCGGTATCTCGTTGGCAGAGGCCAGCGATGCTACTCAGCATCCTAGAGTGTGCTGGACAGGACAGCCTCCCACAACCAGAAATTACCTGGCACCAAATGTCAATAGTGCCAAAGCTGAGAAACACTGCATTAGAAGAAACATTCCTAGAGGAAAAAAGATGCTGTCTTGTGGTCTAGTATATACCCAGCACTTATGATAGAAACTGGTACATAGTAGGTACTCAATAAGTATTGGTTGAAAAGTTGATCATCATTTAAACTCTCATTTTTCTAGCATGAAATAAGAACCAGTTTCTTCTGGACTCATATGTGCTTCCAACTATATGAATGTCTCTTCAGCTTGGATGGAGCGATATTATTAAACATACAAAAAGTCTTCTTTCCTGTGTATCTAGGCCGGGAGACCGCCCTCCCCATGATGTCTCCCTAAAAATTCCTTCCACTATGTAATCTGTACAGATTTAAACATGGAATTAAGACAATCAGAAGTGCTGTGATAAATATCTCCCTTATTTGAGTTGGGGGCTTGCAAAGGGAGTTCTGCCCACTTTTCCCATCAAGTGATTATACCAGAAGGAATGCATGTCAAGCACATTGAATACCCATCAGAGCTATGCCTGCAGCCTGGGTAATGAGCTCTAATGAGCCTGCAAACTCATCAACCCCAAAGCCCTCTGACCACTGATCCTGGAGCTATGGACCAAGGTCGTATTTCCTGATTGGCATCAGACTGCTTTTGTAAGAACATTATCTCTATTTTGAGCTGACAGACTTTTTACTGATGTAAGCAGCAATCTAGCACAATTCAGCAGCATCATGCCTCTTCAACTTTTAAGAAAACTGCAATTAACATTTCAAAATGTTAAAGACACATGTCTAAAAAGTAGTGACCTGGAAGGAAGAATTCAACAATAGAATACATTCATTTTCAAAACTACCCACAGGTGTTCTCTCTCATTTATAAAATCAATAGTATAATGAAAAAAATGCATGTATTTGTTTTTATATTACTTACAGAGAAAAACAACATAGTAGTTTGGATGAAAGCCTTTTGGACCAAAAACCAAAGGATTTGACCATGAAACCTGAAAAACTACCCCAGAGAATGGGTAATCCATGTAACAACTAATTAGCTGAGGCTGTTACATCAACCAACACCCCTTTGGGTTACCTGGTTTTCTTGTTGGTCCCACTGACATATTTGCAGAACCTGACTCAATTCTTGCCACTGTTGCTTCAAGTACTTGTCTAGTTGCCTTCTTCTGTCTTGTAGAAGTTCAAGAAGGCTGTCAATCTTCAGACAGCTGCTATGAGCCGCCTGAATCAACTCGGGGTTCACATTAGGTCCTTCACACTTGAATTTTTCTATGAAGTCAGTGAGTTGTTGACTTTTGTTTAAAAGTGCTAAAGACCGTTCTAAGAGTTCTAGAAGAAAATCAGAAAGAAAGAAGAATGATATTAGCAAGCTTTTATACACCAATCTTCAGATTCTTCATAATTTAAAATATATGTAACTTTTATGTTAATAAAAAACAAGTTGTGCTCAAGGAATTAAAATGTGTGAACAGAAACTGCCTACAGTACTTCAAAGAAAAAGCTGGTCAAACACCTTGGCCTAACAGTTGTGACAGTGCTAACTGCCAACTGATGGGATGCTTTGTTCAGCAATTATGTGATTCATGACAAAGAGTAGAATAAATGTGGGATTTTGACATTGCTGCAGTTTTCAGCGATATAATACTGCTTAAGTGTTCTACATTCTGAGGGGACTGGACTAAAGCTGAGGTTTAAAGGTTAGTGCCTGGGGTAACCAAACAAAAATTCAATGAATGTGGTGGCCAGGTACCCAGACGTCAGGGACTACTGCAAAGTGGAAAATGCTTCTCAGTCTAAAAGGGTCAGCTGTCACTCAGTACTGACCAACTGCTGACATGAGGAATATGGGTCCAGTGTTGATGGAGTTTCCAATTGTTGAAAGAGTTTCAAATGCATATTTTATGTGAAAGTTCTGACTTTTAAATCTTTCATAATTCATATTTTTAATTTTAAAAAATACCACAAGATAAAGAAGCATATATATATCTGCTAAATGGGCCAACAGTATGTCATCTCTGGAGTAAACAGCATTGTAGTTTTGAGTAACATCTTGTAGAACAGGGATGTTAAGCCTAAACATTGAAGAACTGCCAAGGGAGAGAGTTGAGAATAGCACACTGAGGAGCATCTACATGTGGGGATCAACTGAAGGAGCAGCTGGGAAACTGTCCACTCTCCATCATGCAGAAACGAAGGAGTTGTCCATGACATCCCTCCCCCACATCCCGCCATCATCGAGAACTGTTGATTTTACGTGCTATCTCGGGCATCTGTCTACTTCTCTCCATCCTCACCATGGAATGTGTCATCTGTTGCCTAAATGTGCAGTCTTCTCTTAATTGCATCCTCTCTCCAGTCCATCCATCAATTCTCCAAACTTTAGCCACAGAGATCTTTTCTAAACATAACATCTCTTGCTTTCTTTCTTACTTTTTCTTTCTCTTTCTTCTGTCCTCTCTTTCTCACACACACTCGCATGCATATGTACACACACACACATATAAACACACTTACAACAATGGCCCTTTGCCTTAAAGTTATAGACAGACCCCTTAATGTAGATGACTAGGCTGGCATGGTCTAGTCTCTTCCTTCCTTTTCAAATTGCCTCAATCTCTCAACTTTTCATTCTTATCTTCTTTAAATTCCTCACACACGCTATACCCCTTCCCGACCCTGAACTTTTCACTACGCCCACTCACAAGGACACCATTCTCCTCAACCCCCTCCTTCTTTACCTTTACTATACTTATACTCCATGTCAACTGCCACTTCCTCAAAGGACAAATCAGACAGGATTAAATACTCTTACATTTAATGTCCGTCTTTGCCACTAGGCACCATTGCAGCGTGAGGATAGAGATCGTGACTGCATCCCCAGCACTTAGCATGGTGACTGGCACAGAAGATTTGCAATCATTTTTGTAGAATGCTTGAGTGAGAACAAATGTTTTGAAAGAGGGGGAAAAACTGAGGGAACTACAAATATTAGAGATCAGAAGTTCTTCAAAGATATAACAAGGAGAAGTTGAGAAGAAGATTTGGGTTTTGTGATGGAAACAGAAGGCAAGTTACCAGGTTGAAAAGTGAGAAGAAAGTGAGCTGAGAAGTGGGAAGGCAGCAAGCAGGACAATCTTTGAGACACTTGTTGTTAGAAGAAAAGAAAATGCTAGGATTGTATCTTGAGAGAATAATAGGGTCAAATATTCTGCTTTTTTTTTAAATTTTATTTTCACGTTGGGGAACTGTGGCGAACACTCAGAGAGTAAGCACCTCACCAAGCCTGACACTAATAAAAATGGGCTGACGCAGTGGTGAAACACAAGACTTGTGATTAGTATAGCTCAGTGTTCTTTCCACTATAGGGACATGCTCAGCTTCAGCACTCTAACTTTTGGCAGTTTATTACACAGCCATGATGTAGGCTGAGGTAGTTGGGCCAGTTTCTTTCTCAATTGACACCTTTTTTTGGAAAGCAGGAGGAGAGAATGAGGTAAGTGAATATACCGTAAAAAGACATTTTGAGATGAAAAGGAAATAACTCAAAGTAGTTTATTCCACATGACCTAGATCTGTCCTGTAAAACATTAGCTAGTAGTATCTGTTCAGAATGAGGAGAATGTGATTATGCAACCTGGGCAATTTGATTGTGAGTCAACAATGCAAAGAAACAAACGACAAAAATAGCCACAGACATCAACCAGGTCAGGACAGGAGAATGTAAATAACATAAGAAAAGTCAGAGAGAACATTATAATTGAAGTCAATTTCTTGGGAAAAAAAAAAAAACAAAAGTAATGAAAGCAAACATGAACAAGATGGGGTTGGGGGTAGTGCTCAGGAAAAGACCTGTCTGTTTAAAACAAGTTCTTACAGGGAGGTGAAAGACACAACTAGAGAAACGAGGTAAAGACAGCTTAAAGCAGGCCTTGCCTTTCAGACTGAAGAGTTTAATTTCTATAGCCTTAACGAAGTAAGAAGTATGATGGATTCTCCTTTTATATATAAAAACAGTATTTTCCTTTGCGTTTGAAGAGCTTGTTATGATACTGTGAACAGCTGCACACACACACACACACACACACACACACACACACACACACCACACACACACACATACAAGAAGTTTGGGGAGGGAGCAGGGTCTCCACATGGTTTCCTTCCTTCCTACAACTCACTCTTACACATTAGACTTTGCAAATGAGAGAGGGAGGCACAACTTTAGGCCCTTAGTATATTGCAGACTAATGTTCAAGCTGTTCTGGTTCTCATGAGAATATGTACAATTAGTCAAAATTGCAATTCACATTTTTTTTTCTGGTTTTCTGTGTTACCTTCTGCCAAAATAGTATAACCACTACCCAAGTATTACCAGGGATACAGCCTCCTGAGACAGTGCTAACTTGTAAAATGTACCCAGGCTGAGTCAGTCAGTTACCTGCTACCACGATGGCCACTGAGCTGGATGGATTCTTCCCTCAGTTTCCTCTGCCGGTTCCCTCAATCTTTCTGTCAGTTTCTTATGTCTTACTTTTTCACAGTTTACATTTTCCTAGCTATTTATTTCATCAGTTGATCTTACAAAGTGATGCATTTTTTTCTCAATGGTAAACTGTCTAGATATATTGTGACCTTCAAGAACATCTTTACAGTCAATTTATTTTAAAGATTGTATAACAGTACATACAAAATCCTAGTTACTGACACAATACCTTGTGATGTGAACTTAGTTGAGAAATTTTCATGGTTTTAATTTTCAATCTATCTAAAAAGTTATTAAAGTTTATAAAATACATCATATTTTATATTAATACCTATATAGTTTGCCATAGTTATTAAGTATGAATAACCAGTTAAAGATGGTATAATAGGTATATACAAGGTAGATAGGTTTATAGCTTGTGAAACAAATTTTCCAAATGAGGACTTTCTAAAATGCATCAAGGTCATCATCTTGGTCCTGAGATCATGTATGATATTGCTTCCTAATACTTTAAAAATATTCTAAATGTTTCTCGGTGGGATGGTTTCTCTTGAACATAATTAATGGGTATTTTTAAATATAGACAAAAGTAGAGATAATAGTATAATGGGTTCCCAGCTAGGTTTAAAATATATACAACATCTAAGAAGAAAGAAGTAATATCTTATTATATTATTCATATAATATATGATCCTTCTGCGATGTAGCTTCTCAGTTCTTGCATTCATTTTAAGAAGACCCTTAGAAAACCAGAGGATGCAGTTCTCATTTTTCAGAGCTTTTTCTTTTCCTTAATGTCCCTTTAAAACCTTGCTTGTTGCTCTCTTTTGCATCATGCTTCCATGTTCTACAATGAAATTATGTGCAAATAACACCCAACAAATATCCTTTGGGTTGGATACTATTCTCAGCTTTGGAGATCTAGGGTCTCACAATCTGATGACGAAGACTAATAAGAAAATAAATGATTATCACACAGTGTGTGAGGTGATGTATTGAAGTACCCACGGAAAGTACAGAGGCAGTCACCAGGTGTGTACATGTCCTGCTAAACTGCTTCCTGAGAAAAAGAGCCATGTGCTACCGTGACACACGGCCCTGGGTTTCTCACCAGGTTATGGGTTCAGAAAACAGTGTTTAATTATATGTTCTTAGATTGAGGGCAACTAGGCCAGTAAATAATCTGGAAACCATTTTTGCCAGAAAAATCTTTAACTAACTAACTAGGTAAGTTTAACTCAAAAGAGAGAAGCCTGGAGAGGGTATATTATTCTTTCTGTTTCAAGCAAGGATTGTTATGTGGTGGAGGGAACCAACTTGTTCTGAAACATTCCAGAGGGCAGAAACATCAACCCGTTAATCCTGGTTCTGACTTCCACAGTGTTGCAGGTAAGTTTCTTACATATAAGGGAACCTTAGCATTGCTGAATAAGGAGAGAGCATAGGTGAAGCTAATTGAAATAAAGTGACTATTAGGGGTAAGTGTGACTATAGCTTTTCCAGCTTTTGTCATCCTAACACTCATGTTTTGTACTACTCAACTGATCAACATCTCAGAAACTTACTGGAATGGCTAGCTGCACTTATAGACATATTTTATTTTCTAAAATTTAAAGATAATAGATATGAAGCCCTTAACTAAAAAATCAGAATTTCACCCTCGACTATGTATTTCAAACCAGCGAATCTTAATCATATCCCACTGAATTAGTGGGTTAATAAACGGCATCAACTCCCATTTTTTTTCTGTTTTATGAAAACAAAAACTTTTGAAGCCACCACTGAGCACATGAACTGGGAACAAGGTATCCTGACCACAGTTCTGTCATCTCTGTGCTTCAAGTATTACAGAAGGACACAAACTCTCACAATACATATGCTATCAAGATGGAAGAATATTTTTTCATTACAAAAATAAACTATGTTTCCTGTCTTCCACTAGCATTTTTATCCATCTCTTCAGACTAAGGAGACCCACTGGACTCTCGAAGGCTGTATCCCTGAAAAGCAAGACATCAGTCTCACAGTCAGCTGGATGCCAGAGAAGGACAAGCAAGGCAGCACGGGCCTCATGTAAACTGGCCCACAGTGCCACAGATCCCAGGAACTTTGAAGGAGCTAACAGCGGTAGCAACAACAAAACAGCATTAAGACTACGTTCCCCCTGCCAGCTCCATTCCCAAATATTTATGGAAAAGCCCCTGCTTCTATAAGCCCCCAGTCCCTCTGGAGAATGCTTTCATTTGATTGCCTCAGTATTGAAACTCTTCAACAATAGCATCTGTCCCTGTCAGGTTTCTGGAGGTAAAACTGCTGTGTGATGATCATGTTGGTTGGAAGAAAATTGAATTGAGACCACAGAACCTGTCTGTTACCTTCCAGTCTCCTATCAGGAATTTCATTTCCTTTGGACCTAGATAGATTACTATTGCTGTATAATAATGGGCAACTGCTGCTTAAAAGTACAAACTTTTGATGCTGTTTATAATCCGTTAGTGACAGGTCCTACAGGACAACAATCAGTGGAAATTACATATATGTATTTGGTAGGATCTCATAAGAATTTACATAGGAAAGATTGAGTCCTTTAATCTTTGAGTTTTAGAAAGTTGTGATAAGTAATTTATCATAATGATCTATTATCTAGAGGCTTTTGAAGGGTAATATAAACGCTAAATCTATTTGTGACTTTAAAACACCTTTTGGTCCTGTCCAGAATGACAGGCTGGTGTAGCTAGAAGTCAAGTTAGACCTGTGACAAATGAATTCAGGAAGGCTTTCTATCCAGACCCAGTTCTATTTGGCAGTAAAATTAGAAGATATATTAGGAACAAAAGTAATGGTTGTTTCTATCTATCTAACCTCCTTCCATAGCAAAAGATGACAGATAACTACTACTCTTCCACAAATGCCTTCCCTTCTTTTCTCCTGGCCCACACCAAATTCTTGTAGAAAGGCTTGGCATACAAATTGTTGGTTAACAAGCAGACTATCTTTTTAGTTGTTCAGAGGGAATTGAAAATCTTTTTTGCAGAGTGTTTAGTTAGATTTTCATTTGGAAGAATCCACTATTTTTTTTTTTAACTGCAATACTGAAAGAGAAATTTTGTTTATCCAGACCTACTTTTTAAAGAATGACCCTTATTTATTGACCCTGAAAAGGAACATTCACTGAATTCAATAATTTATTCAACTAAGAGATATTTCTTGAGGCTCTACCATGTGGCCAGGCACCTTGCTAGATGCTGAGGGTTAAGGGATGAACAAGGTGGAAATGGCCTCTGTACTCAGGAGCTAAACTCTAGCAGAACAAACAACAGAATCTCCTGGAGGCATGCCTTCTACCATCCTCTCAGAATATTTACAGCTAGTTCTTTCTTTCACAAGATGACTAAAAATGAAGCTTTATTTAACTTTTCTTGGAACAAATTGAGGTATACACAAAGTTATATTGTCATATATAAGCATTCTCATATTAACATCCTTTAAAACCTCTAAACACTTCTGTGAGAAATAAACGTATTTCTTGCCTTTAGTATGATGTTCATGAAGCTGAAGAAGTGATTTTAAGGACTCAGCATTCTCAAACTCATGAGTATTCTGGAGGAAATCTTCAGCTTGGTCTATTTTAACAGCAAACTACAATAGAAATATAGAAGAAAGACATTTGTATAAAAATTAATGTACCGTTGTTAGTTACCTGTAGATATTTTTCATAAATTTGTAGCCCAACTGAGGATGTATGTGTTTATGCAAGTGTGTATGTTTGCATGCAAATGTTTGTGTGAATGTGTGTTGGCTTAGAGTGTTTGTGTGTGTGTGTGTTTACATGTAGTCAATTTACAAAGTGCTATTGGTAAGAACTTTCTTCTCCTTTCATACCTAACTATGTATGCTGAAGTAAACCAATCTGTTTACTGTCCAAATGCCTATTAAATTTTTCAACCAAAATTATAGTGTCCTATGTATCTAGACACTTTCAACATTCTAAGACACTTTGTTAAGAATAAGCAGAAAGTTAGTTAAGGGAAACCAAGTAAAGGTTAACTAAAAAGTAACCTACACATTTACAACTAAATATAGCTTAAGAACTCACTTAGAGAGAAGGTTGTAGTTATTTTTTCCCTCTATAACTGAACTTAGTAGTGAAATATGCAAGTTTCCAAATAATATGTAGTCTAATCCTGTATTTTAAACATATTTGTATAGAAAGTGGTCTCAAAAAAATACATACCAAATGGTGACTTAATGAGAAGAAATGAAATTAAGGATGAGTGAAAGGAGGTAAAATTTTAATATTTGAATCTATAATTTGTAATTCTGTTTGCATTTTCATCAATAATTTGTATGTATTGCATCTGTAAATAAAATGAGATTAGATGAACCAAGAATGACAAGTGAGAAATTTCTTCTCTGTTTCAAGGAAAATGCATAGTAATTTTACACTCTAAATGATAAGGAATATGACTGGTCTTTTTCTTTTTCTCCATGGAGAAAGTGAGAGGTTAAGAGAGATGATTAACATCAAAATGCTTAGGGAAATAATCTTTGAAACAAATTTTAGAAGATGGCAAAATATATTTGGTTATCCTATCACAGTATGTCTGTAATGGTAGGCAAATAGCTGGTTTGTTTTAGCACTAAGTTTCAACAGTAATTATTACAGTTTATATGAGCACTTTAATATATTCACCTTTGGACTGGGTTTAGAATAAACTAATTAAGGAAAAGTATCAGTGTGAAAGACACAGTGGATTACCATGGTATGCATCTTCTTTTTAAAATCTTCTCCAAACTACCAACTTTGAATTTGGGGATTCTTAATATTTTAATGTAACTATTTGATTAACATAATCTACTGTAGTTTGATTATTACAACAGCCATATGAAATCCAATTATAAATGAAACAGAATGATGAGAGACTGAAGAGCAGGGGACATGTTTTGGAAATGCAAGGAAGGCCTCTGACATCCTATTAGAACAACCTGATGGACATCTGCTGCTGCCACTCAGGGGCAGTGTTCCTAAATTACAGCACAGTGTTCAAGGTGAGAATACCCAACTGACAGTTATGTCTGTAAGCCTGAAATAATCCTGTAATAATGATCAGCCATGCAATCATTAGTAATTTTGCATTTCTCAAAAACTCCTGCATGCACATAATTCAATAAAAGAGGGTCATACCCACATCATTTACATCTCTAATTCACTCAATTTCTAATAACTGATTTTTAAAATATTATTTAAAGAGAATTTCAAAAGACACACACAAAAAACCATTCCTAGTAGGTGGTTGGTTTGTTCCCTGCAGAACATTACAAAACATTCCAAGGTTGCTGTTTAACATATATTTCATCTTGCTATAAAATTAAAAATAAATAAACAAACCAGTAAGCTAACAATGCTTTACTCAGAAAAAGCTTCCCTAAAGTTCTGTTAACTTTTATCAATATTTTCTTTTCTCCACTTCCATCACTAACAAAAATGGCTTTGACATACAAAGGGGGCATAAGGATTATATAGGAGTTTGTCTTCAGTTTAGTATGAAGTGATCCACAAAATTGGAAACAGGATAATAAAAGAAATAATTAGTCTTTTCACTAGATCCAATAAAAATTCACACAAGTGTAAGAATAAGAGTGTTGGGTTGAATTATGGTTTGGCCTACTATTTCCTTTTATTTCATGCTACATCTGAAAGTAATTTATTATGGAGAAAATAAGCTAATATTAACTCTAAAACACAGTGAGAAACAAATATTGCTCTAATGCTAGAAAAAAAAAATTCCTGGGCTCAAAAGAGCTGAGTTTCAAGGACAGCTGAAACCTATGCCCTACTTACTGAGATAGAATGAATCAGATGTATCTATAATCTGGTCTCTGTAGGTGTATTTCAGCTGTCTTATTTCTTTTCAGGAAGGAAAGTTTGTGTACAAAACTTCTTCCAAGATGGTCTCTGAAATTAGTTGAACTTCAGTGTTCAAATTGTGAAAAACAAGCCTTGAAAATTATAAGAAGGTTTCTATTCCTCCCTTTTGCTTTTAAACAAGTTCATGATGCATGAGATTGCCTACTCCAATTTTTAGTTTCTATTACTAATCTTCTTTCCTTCATTATTTTGGATTTAAGTCCTGAAATTTTGTTTAAAAAATGTCATATTTTTCAAATCTAGTGTTTTATCATAAGGAAGCAGCACTCTCACATCAAAATGAATGGGCTGCCACTTGACAGAGAAATTAAAAGTGAAATTTCCAATAACTGTCTTATACAAAATATAACACCTCTTTTGATAATGTTCTTTGAAACTCACATTTTGAAATTAGAAACCTCAAAACATTGTAGAATTTGAGAAAAATCACAAGGAGATATGGCCTTTTTAGGGCCAGAAGGACTTCTTCCTTCTCTTGTATTTTAAGGTGTTCAAACTATGGAAAATCAACTATATGCCTTAGGAAAGTACTCATAAAATGCTACATTTATGAGTCAGATAACTTATGGAATATTCTACAATTGCTTTTTTAAAACATAGGCAGCAAAAGGAAATTTTATTGTCCAACTTTTAGCCGATAATAACACTCTAGACCAGCATTCCTTAGTAATCCTACAATCAGAGTAATTGTTTGATATAGTAACTATATTACTACCTTCTATATAGAGGGAAATAAATCATAATAACTTATGAGAGTTCCTATTATTACTTAACAATTTACCACATTTTAATTAGTTAACTGTACTTTGTTTTCGTTTGAAGACCTACTCTTAAAATAGTAATAAATTTACTTTTGACAATCAAAAATTAAATATATTGTGTATGTATTTCTTGGTTATTCTGCCAATTTTTTTTTAACTGATTGCAATGTCTATTTGTGGAAAAACAAACATTTTCAGGAGTGCTATTCATTTGCTCTGATTTGGGGAAAGGAGAAGTTTTTAAAGCACAAACCTCTAAGGCATTTTCAAAAAATTCAGAAGTCAACCTAAGGAGATCCGTTCTTCTTTCAAGCATGGAGACCAGGGCTGCCCAGGCTTCACCCAGAGTCTCGGCCATGGCATCATAGACCTGACTCTGATCCTTGTTCTCTTCAGCTGTCTTGTCTGCCTCCTTCAAGAGTTCCCATACCCGATCTTCCAAAGCCTAAGTCCAAGAGAAAAAGGCATAAGCCAGGGTGTTAACTCAATGTAAGAACACAGAATCACATTTTAAACACCTAGATATTAGAAATTGTATGGAGTCTAGGAAAGAGAATTTATAAACACAAACTGTTATGCAAGAAAGTATATCAAACAGGAAGGAAGGAATGATCAGGATTGAGGTGAACTAGGGAGCATGGCCAGGCCAAAAGCATTCACATTTAAACATTGTCCAAACACTGCTGAGATTTAGCAAAGATACATGTCTATATTCCCACATGGTACAGAATATTATGTTAATCTCACATTTCCAAAAAAATAAGAAAAGTGGTAAGAACACACCTAGAAGTATGATCAAGAATAAAGGTTGTGACAAACAAGCCCAGTAACGCTTACTGTTTATTGTAAATAATTGTCATTAGTTGTTAACATGACTGTGATGCTTAATGTAAACATTATGAGTAGATTTTAAAAACAGAATAGTCATAATTTAAAAATTTAGATATGCATAACCAACATTATGTACTGTTTGGACAAAATATGAAAAATAAAAAGGAACATGTGCTTACATGATTGTCTCATTCAGGGATAGGAGGATTCAATAAGTTCCACATAATTCTTGAAATTGGCACCAAAATAAAGGCATAATTTTTAAAGAATATAGTAGACTAAAATATTATGAATAAATTCTGAAATATCAACATAAAGATAAACTTAAAATCTGATAAAGAAAAACACAACAAAGAAAATAAAAGAAATAAGAGCAGATTCATAAGGATACACACACACACATAGTGACAATAAGATAATTAAAAATCAATTAACACAAAAATGTGGATGAGTTAATCTTTTAAACAAAAAGACAAACGCTATCAGAGTGAGAAAAAAAGGCAACAAAATTTAACCAATTTGTGTTTGCCAGAGTATCCTTAAAAAGAAATATTTTTTGGAAATAAAGAAATGAGCTATATCAGGACAAGACGGACAAGAGAAAGCAGGACTATAATACTGAACAAAATTGGAATCAAAACAAAAATCACCGGTGCTTAAAAATGGCATTTATAATGGTAAATAGTGCAGGCTACAGTAAAGGCACTCATAAACCTTCATATCTGTTGCACCGAAATATTTCAAGTAGATATAACCAGTGTTACATCAAACAAATAGAGAATAAAAACTACAATTACAGACTGTCTTTAAAAATAATAATAAGGCTACTACATTTAAAAACCTTGAATATACAGCTAACCTTATGCTCAGATAAAATACATAGTATTAGACAACTTTGTTTTTAAAGAAAGAAAATAAATTATCTCAACATCCAGGTCTAAATTATTAAAAATAAATAAATAAAACAACAAAATAAGGGGAATAAACTGATTAAATACAAAATCAGAAATTAGCAGATTAAAATACTAGAATTGAATTTTTTAAGGAGATTAATTGAAAAGCCAATAAAATATTAAAATAGCTGACAGATGTCAAATAAAATGGCAGAGTAGGTGGCTCCAGTGACCATTCCTGTAGAGAAACATCAAAAACAGCAAGCAAAAATGGTCTTAATTTTGTTAGAACTCTGGAAAGTAGTCAAAGATTTAAAGCAACCAAAAAAAAAAAAAAAAAAAAGGCTGAAGCAAGAAAAAGGTGACTTTAAAACGTTAAAAAACCTTTGAGACAGTTTTATATGCCCTTGCTCAATCACTCTTGGGTTCAACAGAGACTACCAGAGTAGATAGGAATATTAAGACTCAACTATATATTATCTACAAAAAACCTACTCCAAATATAAAGGCAGAGATGCATTAAAAGTAAATGAATTGGAGTAGCAAGTGAGGTGATTGATATGTTAATTAGCTCAAGTAATTTAACATGTATTAATTATTTTGCAATACATACATACCTCAAAACATCATACTGTACAATTTAGGTGTACACAATTTTTAGTTGTCAATTATACCACAATAAAGCTGGATGAAAAAAAATAATGGATGGAGAAAGATGTACCATGCTAACATTAATCTAAAGAAAGCTAGAGTACCTATGTTAATTCTAGACAGAGAATATTTTAGAGCAAGAAATATTATTTGAGATTAAGATAGGTATTATGAAATTATAAAGGAGTCAGTCTACAAGAAGGCATAAGAATTCTAAATGTGTATGAGCCTAACAACAGAGAGTCAAAATACATGAGGCAAAACTAATAGAACTACATGGAGAAATAGATAAATATGTTATAATACAGATGTCAACATCCCTCTATCAATAATCAGTATATCCAGCTGTCTGAAAATTATTAAGGATATAGATGAACTGAGCAGCACCGTTAGTTAACTTGATCTAATTGGCATTTATAAAATAATTCCTCCAACAATGCAGAACACACTTTCCTCTCAAGTTTACATGGAACATTCATAAGATAGGCCATATACTGGATCATAAAACATACTTTAACAAATTTTTAAAAACAGAAATCATACAAATATATTCTCAGACCCCCAAAAATTAAACTAAATGTCAGTAACAGAAATACAGCCGAAAAATACCATAATATTTGGATATTAAACAACACATTTAAAAATGGGTCAAAGAAGTCTCAAGGGAAATAAAAATATTTTGAACTAAATGAGAAAATGAAAATATGATGTATCAAAATTTGTAAGATGCCACAATAGCAATGCTTAAAGAAAAATTTATAGTATTCAATATATATAAATATGAAAAGAAAAAAGACTGAGTGTTTTTAGTTTTTACCATAGGAAACCAGAGAAAGAGAGTAAATTAAATTTTAAGTAAACAGAAGAAAATAATAAAAATTAGAGGAGGAATCAATGAAACGAAAACAACAGAAAATCAATGAAAGCAAAAATGATTCTAAGAAAAGATCAATAAAATTGAAAAATCTCTAGTCAAGCTAATCAGGAAGGAAGGAAGGGAGGGAGGGAGGGAGGAAAAAGGAAAGGAAAAGGAAAAGGAAAGGGAAAAGGAAAAGGAAAAGGAGGGGAGAGGAGAAAAGAAACAGAAACAAACTACTAATATTGGAAATGAATGAGGGACCACAACTACTGATCCATGGATATTAAAAGGATAAAAAGGAATACCAAAAATGGCTCTATATCCACAAATTTGATAACTGAGATGAAATAGACAAATTCCTTGAAAGATACAAGCTACCAAAATTCACACTAGAAAAAAATAGATAATCTGAACAAAGGCTATAACTATTAAAAAATTAAATCAATAATAACCTTCCAAATAAGAAAGCACTAGGCAGAGATGACTACACTGGTGAATTCTACCAAATGTTTAAAGAAGAAATGATGCTAAAGCTAATTTTAAAAATACAGCAAAGTTACAGAGTATGAGATCGACACACAAAAACATCAGTTGTGTTTCTTTATACAGAAATAATCTAAAAAGGAAATCAAGAATTCCACTTACAGGAGCATCAGAAAGAATAAAATACCTAGGAATAAGTTTAACCAAGGAGGTGAAAGACTTGTACATGGAAAACTAAAAATCATTGCTGAAAGAAATTGAAGACAACCTAAACAAATGGAAATAGATCCTATGTTCATAAGTTGGAAGACTTAATGTTGCTGAAAACCAGTACTACCTAAAGTAATCCACAGATTCAATGTAATCAATATAAAAATTTCACAGGCTTTTTGACAGAAATTGCAGAAATAATCCTCATATTTATATGGACTTGTAAGGGGACTACAGTCAAAACAATCTTGAAAAAGGACAAATTCGAAGCCTCACACTTCTAAGAATTTCAGTACCTACTACAAAGCAGCAGTAATCAAAAAGGTGTATTGGCATAAGGATAGATATGTAGGGCAATGGCCTAGAATTGAGAGTTTAGAAATATACCTATATGCCTATGGGCAATTGATTTTCAACAATGGTGTCAGGACCATTCACTGAGGAAAGAATAATCTCTTCAACTAGTGGAGCTAGAACAATTAGATATTCACATGTAAAAGAATAAAGTGGAATATTTACCTCTCATGCCATATAAAAAATTAATTCAAAATGTATCAGTGATATCAATGTAAAAGCTAAAATTTATGAAATTTTTAGAAGAATTTTACAAGTAAATGTTCATCACCTTGAATTTGGCAACAGTTTTTTAGATATGACACCAGCAGCATGAGCAACAACAACAACAAACAGATAAATTGAACTTCATCAGAATCAAGACTTTTATGTACAAAGGACACTACCAAAAAAGTAAAAAGAAAATCCTTAGAATGGGAGAAAATATTGGCAATTTATATAACAGATAAGCATCTAGCATCTAGAATATATAAAGAACTCTTTCAACCTAACAATAGAAAGGGGCTGGCCGCGGCAGCTCACACCTGTAATCCCAGCACTTTGGGATGCTGAGGCAGGCAGATCACCTGAGGTCAGGAGTTTGAGACCAGCCTGACCAACATAGTGAAACTCAGTCTCTGCTAAAATACAAAAATTAGTCAGGCATGGTGGTGGGTGCCTGTAATCCTAGTTACTCGGGTTTCAAATTAATTTACTTCAATTTAATTAATTAATTTGGGGCTGAGGCAAGAGAATTGCTTGAGTCCAGGAGGGGGAGGTTGCAGTGAGCTGAAATCACACCAGTGCACTCCAGCCTGGGTGATAGAACAAGACTCTGTCTCTAAATAAATAAATAAATAAATAAAACAATAGAAAGTACAACAATACAATCATAAAGTGGGCAAATGATTTGAAATGACATTTCTCAAAAAATGAAATAAATGGCAAACAAGAGCACAGAAAGATGCTCAAATGATTAGTCTTAGAAAAAGTGCAAATCAAAAGCACAATGAGATGTCACTTCACACCCACTAGGATAGCTATAACCTTTAAAAATTGAAAATAACAAGTGTTAGCAAAAACATGAAGAAATTGGAATCCATGTACATAGCTGATGATAATATAATGGTACAGCTGTTTTAAAAAAATATGTTGGCATTTACTCAAAAAGTTAAACATAGAATT